TGGAGAAAATCACAAAATATAAAGACCTGCAGATAGAAATAGAATGACTATGGCAAAAGAAAGCACCTTGGGTGCAATCCCAGAACATCTGGAGCACCACTTGAAGACCATCGGAATTGACAAAATCACCCTCAGTCAATTGCAAAAGGCAGCTTTGCTTGGAACAGCTTACATCCTATGACAATAACTTTAACACCATCAAACAATCACATCTGCCTAGGTCCTTGGAAAGGACTCAGTAGGGAGATAAAAATGTCAAATCCACTGTACACATCTGGCTGACTGTGCGACCAACAATAATAATGCAATATATGTGTGGGTAGGGTGGGTGGGGAAAGAACCCAATGAACTATTTCAGAATTCTATGAGATATTATAGTTAACATACTGCTGCCATATAATAACCCAAATTACTATTAATTATAGTGAGACTGGCGAAATAGCAGTATTAAATATAAAATGTTGCCTGGATAATAAGGAAATCTGAAAAACTCTTGTAACTAATGCTATTCCTGCTCATTTGTGAACTACAAATTATCATGGCAGCACTGACCTTTGGTCTCTCAATGTGCTCGATGTGTGATTGTGCATATGAATAGCTCCCCCGGAAGGATGGGAGGATATGTAATACCAGGTGAGAAGAACATGGGTAAATCTAAGGCCTACTGTGATTTCATTGCAACAGAACTGCATACTTTTTCTACAGTTAACAGGTATTCACACAAACAGCACAGGGATACCCAAAACAACAACAAATAACAAGTCATGCTGAAAATTTTGTTAGATCATGTACAGGGAGGAGAAGAAGGAGGGGGAGATCTAACCAGAACAATTATCTAAAAGATACAGTTTCAATGTCCTTCCCATATATGTTTTGTAACAAAACTTCTTAAACAAGGGAGAAAGTGGAGAAGTAATATATATAAAGAGAGAGGGGGGGGGGGAAGCTTTTGGATGATAGATAGATAGATAGATAGATAGATAGATAGATAGATAGATAGATAGATAGATAGATAGATAGATGAGATAAGACTGAGGAAAGATCTGACTTTTCTAATCCTAATAATTCAGCAATAGTTGTATGGTTCATTTTTCATACTTAAGCAGTGATTAGTCTTTTTCAATGCAATATTGCACCTAGAAAGAGTTTAGAAAATGAAATTAAGCAAAGAGCTGTTACATCTCTAATCGGTCAGAACAATAACTCTCTTTCCAGAATGGAAAGTACCAGAGAACTGGTTCCAACTATTTATGCCCTGGACCCAGTGTTAAAGTGGGAATTCTGTGAGTGTACTGACTTCTCTGCTGCTACAGGCATTCCCTGATTGATCTGATGGGGATGGACTCAGAGTTAAACAATACTTTAATCTTTGACTCATTAAAAACAGTCCCAGAATCAGTCTTAATAAACCATTTTTAAATGTTGCTTTGAACTGTTTTTGATGTCTATATCAGTAATACTGTATTGTATTCCATTGCAAACTAACAAGGCATATAATCAATAAATCAATAATTCAATAAACAAATGAATGAATATGAATATAAATGAAATATTGTGAGAAAGGGCTCAGAAGGTCAATTTTAGGTGGGTTCTTATCTCTTTTCTCTTTTCTTTCCTGACTTTTGACAGTTCCTTGCCTATCTAATTTCACGGCACCAATGGGAACTGTTCTTTCTCCTGACTACCCAGAAGGATATGGAAATAACTTGAACTGCATCTGGACAATCATCTCAGACCCTGGGAGTCGCATTCATCTCTCCTTCAATGATTTTGACCTAGAATCTCAGTTTGACTTCCTTGCAATTAAAGATGGTGATTCTCCAGATTCTCCAATACTTGGCACATTCACTGGAGCTGAAGTGCCATCCCACCTGACTAGTAACAGTCACATTTTACGCCTGGAATTTCAAGCTGATCATTCAATGTCAGGCCGAGGATTTAATATCACCTATAACAGTGAGTAAATGTTTTTATTCCCGATTCAATCATCATATTCATGCCCTTATTTACTAATCATTTTTTGGTATGTTCTGTTGTTCTTTATACGTCTGTGTGGACACAGACAGACAGACAAAGCCAAGAAACCCAGGTTCTAGTCCTTTCTTAGGCATGGAAGCTGGCCAGGAGCCTTTGGACCAGTTATTCTTTCTTAAACCTAGACTGGGAAATTAAAAAAAAAAATCATCTACCAACCCATCCAGGACCAACATGGTAAATTATGGCCCATAATCTTCAATGAATAGACCTTAATCCTGCAGTGAACTGATATGGGTTGAATACTAATGCTACTAATAATATGGCTGGCTGGCTGGCTGGGTGGCTGGGTGGCTGGGTGGCTGGCTGGCTGGCTGGCTGGCTGGCTGGGTGGCTGGGTGGCTGGCTGGCTGATTTATGTATGTATGTATGTATGTATGTATGTATGTATGTATGTATGTATGTATTTATTTATTTTGGTGCCTTCAAGTCAGTCTTGACTCCTGGTGACTGCCTGGAGAAGTCTCTGAAGTTTTCTTGGTGAGATTTCAGTAGTGGTTTGCCATTGCCTGCTCCCTAGGGCTGAGAGAGAGAGAGAGACTGGCCAAGGTTATCCAGCTGGCTTTGTGCCTGAGGTGGGACTAGAACTCACAGCCTCCTGATTTCTAGCCTGATGGCTTCACCACTACACCAAACAGGCTCTCAATAAGGCTTATAGGTTGTTCCAATAACAGCTGACTCTCCGATTCTAAGTATGTAGAGAATAAAGAGGATGGCCTTGACAGAGAAAGGGAATATCCATTACCAAAGCAACTAACAGATAAGCATGGCTTAAGCCCAAACGAAGACAGAGAGTTACAAAAATGCCTAAACCAGGCATCTCCCTAATTAATGTGAAGATAAAAGAGGGAGGAGGGGAAGTGCATTCAGACTTGCAAGATTCTGTTACTACAGCCATTAATAAATAATGGTAATTATTAATAATAAAAGTAGTTTTAGTCCGGTGTGGCATCTGTTTCTTGATCTGATCTACCTTGTAGAGTGGTATACAGTTCCTCCTTTGTAACTCAGTATAAGATCCTAGAAGTAGTTCTACTCCACCTTGGAACAATGAAATCAATTTTTATTGTTAGAAGGACAAACATATAGCTCAGTTTCCCAGAGCTTCTCTGAACAGATAAGCCTTTATAGACTTTCTAAATGCCAGTTGGTAAGGGGATATCCTGGGCAATCTTTTCTTCCTGGGTTGCTATGCTGCTGGGTACTCTCTTCCCTCTTAAAGCATAAAAATAAAATCTTGCAGTTGAACCAATGATAACCCATTAAATCAGCGAATTTTTCATGGCCAGTAATTTTCTATCCTCTTAAAATGTTCCTTGCTCCATTCAATTCTTATCATTTCCCAGTAGGAATTCTTTCAGTTTCTGCCCAATCTATAGTCCTGAGCTTTCAGATTTGCTGGTCAAATTTTGCCACTGATTCAATGAACTATCCTTAACTCTAGAAGCTCATTCTCCATTCGACCCTTACATTTCCCATTACGGTTTCTGCTCAGGCTGCATGAAGTGTGCTCTCCTTGCTTCCCCAGCCCCCTGCCCACAGTACTGAAAAACTTTATTTCCCTTCCCTTTGTTTTTTAAGCATCTTTGCCACATTGCTACTTGGTTTCGATGAGGCTGTGCTATCCCTTCTTCCTTATTACAAACTTTTCATCAATCTATGGAGGAACATAGGATAAAATGAACAATCTGTTCCCTATTGCTTTGATTAGTGTAGCATGGAGCTGCTAGGAAGGAAAAAGAAAAAAGAAAAAGAAAAGAAAGGGTCTGCTTTAGAGATAATGAAGGGATCTCTGTGTGCCAGTACCTGGGAAAGCAAAGGAAAGACACAGAGGCTAAATAGGAGGGAACACACCCTTAAAAAAAGACAAGCACCCATAGACAGGGGCCATCCTGAATGGATGGGAAAGGGAAGAAACTGGGGAAAAACCAGGTCTTGCAGTGAACATAGTCCAGACTGAGGACAAGCCCATTCCAGTTGCCAATCCATAGTGATATGGACCGGAATTTCTGTACTTCACTTAAGCCAGCGTTGTCCAAACTTGGCCACTTTAAGATGAGTGGACTTCAACTCCCAGAATTCTCCAGCCCAGCCCGGCGGGCGGGGGATTTTGGGGGTGGTGAGGCACCCCTTCTTAAAGTGGCCAAGTTTGGACAAGCCGGCCTAGTGGGGGTAAAACAGTTC